AGTAGTCAAAATGAATGAACACGTTCAATTCAATTAAAAAAGAAATCTTTTTTTTCCGATTTCATTTTTTTTTTCTTACGACACGATACTCAAATCTAGATTCTTGTAATTATGATTCAAGTGAAGAAAAGTAAGCCTATTTATTTCGGGCTTTAAAACCAGTAGTTCTAGCGGTCGACTCGGTTCTTTCAAATTGTTTCTCATTATTGAGAAAGGGTAACAAAGATAAAATACGAGCTTGTTTTATAGCAAGAGTAATTAATCGTTGTTGTTTCAAGGTCAATCTATTCACTCGTCTTGATAATATTTTTCCTTGTTCACTAATAAATCGACTAATTAAACTCATGTTTCTATAATCAATTCGATCCCCCGATTGAATCGGGGGCAAACGCCTACGAAAAGATCGCTTGAATTTAAGAAAAGGTCGCTTGGATTTATCCATGGTTTGTTTGTTTAATTTATTCCTTATCCCTAAAATCCTGCTATATAGGCGGGCTCCTGACTTCAAAACTTGAAATGTATTCCTCTGCTATCCAGGCGGGCTCCTGACTTCGAAACATGAAATGTATTCCTCTGCTATTCAGGCGGGCACCTGACTTCAACAAAATAGACAAAACAAAGAAAATTTTCTGCCCCAGTTTGGTAGCTGGGCACATGGGTGAGTGTTAAACATGAATCATTCTACCAACTATTGCTAAGAATTTGAAAGCTAAAACCCTGTTATCCAGGGAGGTCCCGACAACTGACAATTATAGATCTAAGCTGCATCTTCTAAAGGTATTACTTCCGCTAAGTTCTGTTATCTAAGAGGGTTGTAAACTACATCCTATTATCCAGGAAGGCCCTGAAAACTTCTAATTGAATCCTATCTTAAACATGCAAATTTTGAAACCAACTTATATTGCTTTGGGGTGTATTTATGCTAAGTTATGCTACTCATGATTGTTTTGAAAATTTAAACTAGGTCCTATTTTCCAGGAGTGTCCTGAGAACTCCTAATTGGATCTTACGTCAAGCATTCAACCTCGTTACACCAAACTTATGCTACTGTTTTGAAATTTAGCTAAGTCCCATTTTCTAGGAGGGTCCTGAGAGTTTATGATCAAACCTGTTTTGGTGCTTGCTCTTTCCCCTACGGAGGATTCCTCCGCAACAAACGAAATTTTCTGCCCCTGTTTCAATCAAAGAAAAATCTTGTCAGTTTAAAATGTGGTGGTTGGTTTGTGGCCTTGAACTTTGAGGGAGATTGCCCATTCACTTCCCACGACGAATGATTTCACTTGAAGACCTTGCTTGTTTATGGACTAACCCCTTTTCTGTCGTCCTCATCACATAAAATACCTTTTCTCTGTTCAGACCCAATATCCTCTGTTTGTTGCATTGCATGAGCCGGCATCTCCCTAACCTTTGTTTCTCACATGAATCCCAAAGCATGTCCATTGTCCCCACTCCGTGTATATGTTCTTTTTTTAAAATTAAAACCCCTAGCCCCCTGACCTTGAGGTCTGTTGCTCCTTCACTTGCCATGATAACTTTGATTTCTGCTTGGAAGACCTCGCTTGTCGCTGGTTAACCATTTTTGTCAATCTTGCCGCCGAAAATATCTTTGATCTGTTCACCCTAACCCTTCATCTGTTGCATTGTTCATGAATTGATATACCAAGCCTTTGTATTTCACAAGGATCCCCAAAGCATGATGATTATTACCATCTCAGTGCTCTTGTTGTTTTTCCTGACTTGTGACACTTTGATGTGCTAGCCA